CTGAAGAGCATAGAACTGTAAACAAAGAGTGCTAACAATAGAAATGAAGAAACGCTAAATTTTGTAAGAGATAACTGATAGGCAATGTGCAAATGATGCATTCAATGTATGGTTTTCATATTTTACCATTTATTTATTTATTTATTTGGACACATGAATATTGGTACAAGAGAGCGCCAATATATATGCGCCACACCATATTTTACCAAGATACTCTGTAATATTTTACTAACTAATTAAATTGATTTTCCTCACCTGAGTGTAAGATCACCACAAACTACCCTATATGAAAATTCTTTCAAAAGATTATAATCAATTATCAGTATGGGGTTGTGGAGATTATTATGTTTTTGATTGGGATCATGAACCGATTGATGTTAAACCACCATTTAAAACATGGAAGCACTAGATGGCCATTTCGTCCTATTGTGGGACTCCTCAGCAGTGCGCATCCACGATCCCGCCCTCTGGATTCGAATCCAGGACCTTTTGGTTCACATGCAAACACTTAATCTTCATTTAAATATTCTGCTATTCTGTTTGTTGAATTTTCTGAAAAAGATTTTACACCTTAAATAACATAGTCCTTTTATAGATGTATGATTATCACTTCATCATTGGAAACATAAAGTTCATCAATGAAGAGATCTATTTTCAAGAAATTCTGTTTTCAAACTGTACAATCAATCTATATATTTGTATGAAATTTCTTAGATATTCATTCCATATGGACAATATGACTAATGAATAAACGTGATGATGTAATAAAATTTATTTATTTATTTTAACACATAGATATTGGTACAAGGATGCACCAAATACATATGCCCCACACAGATCTCATTTGATATGTGTGAGGGCTGTGATACTGCCAGGGTGCCCAGACCAAATCAGGTGGTTCTCTTAATCGGCCACACCCGGAGCCTTCGACCTGAAGGTCTGATCCACAAGGCAGTGGAGCAACGTAAGGAGATGCAGCCCCATGGTAGCCGGTGACCAACGATTGGTTTATACACCATTTGTCCTTTCAGGATACTGGAGCCCATGTGCACCATTGGTTTGGAATCAGGGTTTTCCAACTCCTGTAGGTGGACTCTCCATGTCCACCAACCCGGCTAAAGCGCCGGACATTCGCTTTTCGTCCTCTCAATTTCGTAAACAACAGTAATGCCACGAGAAGGAAGTGAGTATGACTTCCCTTGCAGAGGCTATAAAAGGTTGTAATAACGGATTACGTAATAACTATAGTAACTATAAAAAAATATGAAGTTAAATAATAGTTTAAAGCGATTGTAAGTATAAGACATATTTCTTTTGCACGCACAGTTTTGGCTTCATCTCACGAATGATAAAAGCTGCTATCATTTTAATGGATTGGATACGAAAAAATCTAGAAAGATTTAGACAAGTTATGTAAATAACTTTTTAAATTAACCAGTGGATCAATGGAGTCAATCAGCCACAACGTAGGACCAAGCACATATATATTCATCAGTCCAAGTTGCTATACCTCATTAGCAAAGCAAGATGAATACCAAATTCATAAAAACAGTCACATCAATGATAGTGGAGTGATTGAAATTGATCGAATATTTAATGATAGAACTTCTACAGTGGTCTTGAGTGCTGTTAAGAGGTATGAGGGCCGATGCATATATGTGTATGGTCCTACGTTGTAGAACTTCTAACTGTTTTCCTTTAACCCTTGTATAGAATTGTTTGAAACGATACAATATTAAATATAGGAAATGTGTTTAAATAATTTCAGCGATTGAAATCCAATTAATTTCAACGCTTTGTTCGACAATCATATCAGAACTATTTCAAGTATATTATAATTGTAATCAACATTACCAAAGAATGTTTCTAAGGTATGCACAATAAGATCTCATCAAAATTTTGTTCATTTTTGGTATAGAAAGGTCAAGAGACAATCTGTTGTTTGTATAATATTACTATTAAAGATAATGAATATCTTTAATTTAGTACCCCCAAATGTCCTGGTACGACCAAGAGTGGGGAGAGTCAGCTCTCACTTTTGAAGTGTTTTCAAAAGGCCACGTGTATACAGCCGCTACCAGGAACGTCCTACTGACTGCCTTCTCGTGATGGGGTTGTTGTTTACAAAATTGATAGGACGGAAAGCGAATGTCTGGTGCTTTAATCAGGTTGGTGGATATGGAGGGTCCACCTAGGGGAGCTGGAAAACACTGATTCCAAACTAATGGTGTACATGGGCGCCAGGATCCTATGAGAACAAATCGCGTATGAACATATTTTTGGTCATCGGCTACAATGGGACTGTATCTCCTTACGTTGCTCCACTGTCTTGTGGATTGAAGCTTTAGGTCAAAGGCTGTGCGTTTGGCCCCCTATGAAAACCGCTTGCTTCGGCTTGGGTATCCAAGAAGTCTCACAGCCTTCACATAAATCGAATGACTTACTTGATGCATATCTGTTTGGTGCCTTCTTTTATCAATGTTCATGTGTTTAAATAAACAATAATAATAAATAGTGGTTGTTTGGATCTTCCCATTAATGTTCAGGATTGCAATCGATTAGTCTTTTTGATGTATGTACATTCTGTGCTGATTGCCTCGATATTGCCGGTAAGCTACAAGTATTTCAAACGGATATAGATGGTTACTAGCAGTAAAATCAGCGACGTGCGTTTCGTTGTATTTTTAACTAGTCGGCTTGATGTACGTGCATCTCAGACTTGATGTTCACTCCAGGACTTAATGCCAGTACATTTAGCTTTCAATAACATCGCTATATCCACTTATCTACTGAGTCTAGATAGACATTGATTTGTGCAATGAGGTGAATTTCCAGTAGTGAATATCGACTCTGGAATGCAGGCACATAAAAAACAATCTTATCATTATTACTTTAGTCTTAGTTATTGAAAGGCAGAAAAAATGCATATAACATAATTAACCAAATTCGTTGAAAATGTTGTTCCATCATGGGGACACTTAACAACACCTTCAACTATTGTTTCCTTAGAAGTTTAATGTTGTCTAGAGCATGAATAGATTAACGAAACTCAAAACTACAATATTGATCCATAAGATTGTTGACTCTCGAACTAATCATATAGAAAGATATCGATTATTTAATTACGGTTGTTAAGCAATGTTAAACGATCTAATATCGGTTATTATGGCATACATGTATTTACTTTTTTTAAAAATCTATTCATATTACATACATATTGTTTCATCGTACTATTCATCATTATTATTATTACAATTTTGTTTTTATCTTGTCTTGATTGCATCATATGACAACTTAGTTTAATGCATATTTATACTACTTATAAGTTGTCTATTGTTTAAGACATTACATAGTAACTATTCAATGTTCAGTTAATGTAAGAATGTTTTCTTTTTGGTTCTTTAAATGACCTAAACATTTATTCAATATAATAACTGAATATGTAATATTATTGTTGTTATTCCTTAGAAGTCACTTTTAATTCTTGTTGAATAATATATCGAGTTAAAATGGTTATTTTGACATGAACAAATCATATCAGTCAATAGTCGGTCAGTCAGCTACAATATAGAAGTAGGCACACATTTATGCATTGATCCAAATTGTCGCACTTCATTAGTACAACTAAATGAACACTGAATTCATAGAAGTAGTTACTTCTTTAATGATAGTACTATATATGAGAAAGAATACGTATTAACATTTTAGTTGATTTATAAGATGATCATTGTTTGCCTGGTTAATTTGAATGACTTATAGTCTATATGAAATATTTATGTTTTATCCACAGCAACAGTTGTTATTTTGTCTTCATATTATTGCTGTTGTTGTCGTTGTCGTCATCGTTTTTTTCCTCTCTGATGACTTTTACGTCAATTCATTTGATGTTTCTTGTAGTCATTATTATCACTACCAAATGTACATATAAAACATACTGATACTACCTTTCTATAATAAATCTTTCTAAAGTTGTATAATCAATGGTATTAGTGCAGAACAAAACAAAAAATAGAAAAAAAGGAAACGTGTATATGAATTAAACTATTCCATTCTGTGTAAAACTTTACAAAAATCTTTTCAATACAAAATAGTTTCATATCAAACGGGTTTTTGTAGATGTTGTAGTAATTTCAATGGTTAAGATCATGAGTCAATTGGATGCCAACTCAGTGATCTAGTGGTTAAACGCTCGCGTGCAATACTGATATATCCTGGGTTTGAATCTCGTGAAGTGTGATCGTGGATGTGCACTGTCACCGAGGCGTCCTACAATAGGACGAAACGACTGTCCAGTGTTTCCAGGTTATCTATGGTGATCTTGCTTCAATTGATTCATAATCTCAACCATTGAAATTACAAAATAGTTTGTTTTGATATTTAATATCCAATAATGTTCATGATTATTATTATTACCACTTATTAGTGATCAGTTAATGAATGATCATTCTAGCAATAATAATTCCAACTATTTGACATTAAGTAATGTGCCTTTGAACACGCTACCTCACTCACACCGATCCACAACAAGCGGAAGGTTATTTCCTTTAAGATTGTAGACAGCACTAATATTATGTTAGGTAGGGTTGACATACTTGATTTCCATGCAGTTCATTATGTGACAAATGTTTTCTAATGTAACAATTTTTCGGAGCTAAATTATGTATATTTCCTAAACTCTACATCTATACAAACTCAATACCATACTGATAGACTCTAATAGTTCAAAAGAGTATTCTTTTTACAATTGATTAATCACTGAGTGGTAATCAATGTCATGTATATGTGGTCCTTCTTAGTGCAGATCGAATCCTATCGACCAAGTTACATTGTGGCTACCAGTCTAGGTGACTCGATATTCAGTGTACTATATTGAGATAAGATGATGGTTGGTGTTAGTCAACAGGATTATTCTTTTGTCGCATCTATATACATATTTTTATTTTATTCTGAATACAGTTTTTTTCCTAAATATTATTGTTGTTTTTTAATGTTTGTTTTAGATAATGGGTGCTTCATTTAGAAATGTTGAACAAATCCTTGGTTTAGTTGGATGTGATTTGTTAACAATATCACCTAGTCTTTTAGAAGAATTAAGTAAAATGTCAGAAGTGCCCATTTTATGCTTGACTGTTGAAAAAGGTAAATAAATTTATTCCGTTTTCTTAGTTATGGAAAGAAACTGTGTTCAACTTCTGTTTTGATAGCCATATAATATCTTTAATTGTTTCATTTGGATACTATGTTGTTCTTTTTCAAGCTAAACTGATAAGTTAATCGTATTAATAATTTATACAAGTCACTTGATTTGTGTGTGGGCTATAATGCTTCCCGGGTGCCCAAACCGAAGCAGGTAGTTTTCTTAGGGTACTATACCCGGAGCCTTTGACCTAAAAGTTTAATCCACAAGGTAATAGAGCAACATAAGGAGATGCAGTCCCATCGTAGCCGATGACCAACAATATGTTCACACGACGTTTGTTCACTTAGGATCCTGGAGCCCATGTGCACCATTGATTTGGAATGAGGGTTTTCCAACTCTCGTACGTGGATCATCTATATCCAACAACCCGGTTAAACCACTGGATATTCGCTTTTCGTCCTCTGAATTTCGTAAACATCAGCCTTGCCGTGAAAAGGCATTGAGTAGGAATTCACTTGAAGTGGTTGTATATACGTGACCATATGTAAGCATTTTGAGAGGGAGAGTTGACTCTTCCCACTCTCGGTCGTAACAGGGAATTTAGGGGCTTAACAAATAACTACACACTGATGGAATTTTTTTTATGCATTATTTCTGTGTTATTCACTTACGTGAATTGATGAATTGTGATTCTTTCTTCTTTTCTTTTTATTGTGACCACCACCACCAACAACAACAACAACAACAAAACACACACACACACTCAGCTCAAACATCTTATGATCATTCTTATCAATCAGATGAATTATTAACAGAAGAAGAATTTCGTTGGCAAATGAATGAAGATGAAATGGCTAATGATAAATTAACTGATGGTATAAGACGTTTTACTAATGATGCATTAATATTAAAAGATTTAATTAAAACACGTATAGAACAACAATAATAAGAATAATAATCATAGAGATAATAATCTAATAGATCATAGATGAATCAAATTGAATTCTCATGTTTTCTACACGTGATCATTTTCAATCCGGCTTACTTAACATTCATTTAAATGAGAAATCATTTATATCTTTTCAATTCAATATACATTGATCAGCATGATTTACGCATATTAGTATTAAGTATTTTAATTAAAATTCATTTATTTCCAATGATTACATTCTTATTTATTATGTAAGATTGTTATGAAATGGATCCAAGTTGTTTCAATAGTTGATATTATGGAAAACTTGGAAACACTGGATGTCCGTCCTCAGTGGCAATACGCATCCACTATCCTGCCACGTGAGATTCGAACCCAGAACCTATCAGTCTCGCGTGCTACCGCTTAACCACTGAGCTGAAATCCAAATATGTTAATGTCTGACTTCAACTAATCCATGAAATTGAGCGACACATTTATTTATTTGAACACATAAGTATTGGTACAAGGGGAACCGAACACATTTGGGCCGCACAAGTCACTTGATTTGTGTATGAGGTGTGATACTAGCCGGGTGCCCCAACCGAACCAGGTGGGTTTCTTAATCGGCCACACTCGCAGCATTCGACCTAAAGGTCTAATCCACAGGGCAGTGGAGCAAAGCTACGAGATGCAGTGACATGGTAGTCGGTGACCAGCAGTTGGTTCATACGCCATTTGTTCCCTCAGGACATTGGAGCCCATATGCACTATTTGTTTGGAATGAGTGCTTTCCAACTCCTCTAGGTTGATCCTCCATATCCACCAACCCTGTTAATGCTCCGTACATTCACTTTTCGTCCTCTTAATTCCGTAGACATCGGCCCCACCGCGAGAAGGCAGTGAGTAGAACTTCTCTGGCAGTGGTTATATGCACGTGGCCATCTGAGAGCATTTCAAGAATGAGGAAGCTGACTCTCCCTACCTTCGGTCGTATTAGGACTTTTGTGGGCACATTGAAAAAACCGGTTCTCGTCTTTATACTGTATAGTTAAACTTTTACCATGGTCCTGATAACCCTTAATCCAGAGCTGAAACTGCTGAACTGATAGAAAAGTGTGAGAGATTTTTTCCGTGTTGCGGCTGGTAATGATACTAGGCGAAATACTTTGAAATTACCGAAATGCACGACATACGCGCGATTTAATAATTCAACATGGTGATTATAAAAGATTATCCTATTGGTTGAATTTTTGGGAGTAATTCAGTAATCAGTCAGTCAGTAACAACGTAGAACTTCGTACGTACGTACATCAATTCGAGTTGCCATACCACATTAGCATAGAGATGCAGTTGTTGATTCAAATCCCATAGTGGTAGAAGTAGTAAAAGTATAAGCAGTAATCGAAAAGATTAGGGTTTGGAGATGTTAATTAAAGAGTATAGTCCAGTGAAATAAATTTGGGAAGAGAAAAAAAGAGATTAGGAGGAATCAGGAGATTAGAATTTGGAAGAACACAAAGAGTGGATGCACCTACGCCGACCATTGCAAACGATTTTGAGCCATGTCATTCAGGGTCTCTAAGCATCGGTTGCTATCATCTCGCGGTCTCCAATCAGGTAGTCTACACCTACCAACATGACTCAGTCCATTTGTCAGTGACTTCATGGACTTGAATTCAGTAATAATCCTCCTTATTAACCATTGCGCCAAAGTATCAAGCTAATGTTTATTACACAACCAATTCATGGAGTATATACTATTAGTGCTTATTAGAAAGACAATGAACCATTCAATTCAATAAGCGAAATACCTTCAAAATAAATTAACTATTTACATACAATTACTATGACCCTTATCCATCATTGTGGAAATAAGTTACGCTTTGTCCTACTTACACAATATTGTAACATACATTACAATATTACATGTAATATATAAATAAAGTATGGTACTTTAATTGACAACTTACGACCGATAACAAATGGTTAAAATTTAAAACAGTCGATCATTTAAATGATGAGACTATCATTGATGAACGATCTTTGAGTGACGTTTAAATGACCCCGAAAATATCCACCTATTTGCCAAGTCTAATTGAGAGTTATAAACCTGTATGAGAAATTAGAATATTTTGAACATTCTATTTTAGCGGCATCTATAGAGCTTAATAGGATTGGATGTAGGATAAGAAAAGATGAAACTACAGACTGTTAGTTTATATCTAATTATAGCAAAGGACTGAAACATTACCAAGTTACTATGAATGTGATGTTTAGAAATTTAAAGACAGATGACTTTCGAAAAGATCGAGTTATTGTCTGTTGATATTCTGAACCACATATACAGTTGACTTCCAAGGGATGGAAACATCTTGATAAATTCTTCATTTTGATATTACATGATCGACGATAGTCTGTAGAAGAACCTTTACTTACATTTATACTAATTAGTATGCATAACCAAGGCATACTTAATGTCATGAAAAGACCAATGTCCACTTAGTGAATCCAAACAAAATCTATCTCAATTCAGGTTTTAGTAGAATTTGATTAACATCTAGTCAATTAACCTTAATGGATACTTGATCAATAGGATTAAGTTCACAACTTTGGGCTAGTTTGTTCAATGATCGATCAGTTAAGTCATCATGAAATGATTTTCAATCATTTGTTTTTTTTTACTTAATTACGTTACAGTGAGACTATAATCGATGGACGACCATTGAGTGACACTAAACTGACCTTGAGAGTGTCCACCTTATAACTGGGACTAAATTAGGGTTATAAACTAATGTGAGGAATTATAATCTACAAGTGATGATTATGATTAGAAATTAGATTTAGGGAGTTTTCATCAGATATAATGCCAAAACCCTGTTTATCCAAATAAATGAATGAATTTTGCGCCAAAATACTTGATCTTTCATCTTATACATCATTGGTTCGTTTTGTAAATCATAGTCTCTCCATTGGGTATATGCATACAGTTGATCATTCCATTGAAAACATTTTTGACGCTAAAATAACATGAGAATTTCTTTTTTAAAAAAAATAAAATATGAACAACTGTTATAGGTAGTCATTTAAAAACGTGATCGTTTTGATATAGTTAATAAGTTTATGTCATAAGTGTTTTGGAATTCTTGTCCAGTAAAAAAAAGGAGTACATGACATAACAATGTACGATATTGACTTTAGTTATAGATATAAATTTAACCATTGTTAAGTCTTGCTGATTTGGACGCTATATTTGTTCCTAAGCTATTCTGATACCCGCACTCTAGAACTATACAGCGACCTGAACACCAGAAAGAAGACGTAAAGTATGAAACACTTTATTCTAGGGTTCGTTTTTGTACAGAAAACATGGGTATTTATAGATGTTAACGTTTGTTAAATCAACATCATATTTCGGCCAATCCGTTAACGACATTATGCTACTGAACAATAGTAGCACGCCGCGTTGAAATTCTAGAATGCTCCATCATTCTCCGATTGGCTAGGACTCTTCGGCCCCTTTTGGGCCTCTGGAGGCTCCGTTGAAGTTCTCCGAAAGCCGACTCAACAACCATTTTGATTTTTACTAAACAAATTGAATCGACTGAAGATGTTCCTTCATGTTGGCTCAATACCAATGAATATTTTCAGTATAAGGCTGAAGAGATTGTTGAATTATGTTCTAACAATGAACCAATCAATGTTAGAACATCAATAAACATGGAAGTACTGGATTTCTCGAAGTTAGTCACTAACGCCGTTGGGTTAAGTTAGTGGTGAGGCCAAAAAAATGTGGATGACATTTTCGTCATCACTAAAAAGGACTATCTAGAAAACATTTACAATCTGATAATATTGACAATTGACTAGGAGTCAAACAACAAATTATTAATTTTGAATGTATTGATCTGTGGGACTGTTACAGGAAAAGTGGAAACTCAAGTATATTGGAAGCCAGTCGATAAAAATCAAATTCTCAATTACGGTAGCTGTAATGTAATAAGTCACAAAACGAAATGCTTACAAGTTTTATTCAAGAGTGTGATAACACACTACAGAACACTTGCAGTGCGTAAAGATGAAAAATATCTGATGAATTTCCTTCGAAAGAATGAACTTCCATGTAGCCTTATCAAAAAATGTCAACATAAATCATTAAGAGAAACGAAACTAGGTACGGGAACAAACATAAAAGACTCATCAAAAATTACGAGATTATTGAAGCCGTTTGGCATAAGTGTAGCACACAAACTGGCAAAATCACTCTGATAAATCCTATGCAAACTTGTAGTGTCTACTACTATGTAAAGCACACAGAGATTATTATACCTTCTGAACAGACCGATCTTCACATTATTTGTAAGCTACATTTTGACTTTGTCGCTTATTTGATTATTAACTCAGATCGTATGTATGTTAAGTACTCACCCCTTTCATCATGTGTCTGTAACGTATTTTTGTTTGACTATAAATAAGTAACTAGAAAAACACAATACTTACTTACTTACGCCTGTTACTCCTCGTGAAGGAGCATAGGCCGCTCACCAGCATTCTCCATCCAACCCTGTCCTGGGCAATCCTTTCTAGCTCCGTCCAGTTGTAATTCATCCTTTTCATATCTGCTTCTATTATCCGACGCAATGTGTTCTTTGGCCTTCCTCTTTTTAGCTTCCCTTCAGGATTCCAAGTTAGGGCTTGCCTCGTGATGCAGTTTGACGATTTGCGTAATGTATGTCCTATCCATTTCCATCGTCTTTTCCTAATTTCTTCTTCAGCTGGAAGTTGGTTTGTTCTCTCCCACAGAAGGCTATTGCTGATGGTATCCGGCCAATGGATGTTGAGTATCTTGCGTAGACAGTTATTTATAAATACTTGTACTTTCTTGATTGTGGTTGTTGTAGTTCTCCAAGTTTCAGCTCCATACAGTAGAACTGCCTTGACGTTCGTATTGAAGATTCTTACTTTGATATTGGTTGAAAGTTGTTTTGAGTTCCATATGTTCTTCAATTTTAGGAAAGCGGCCCTTGCTTTGCCGA